GGGATTTATACTGAAGGTGGATATGGGATATTAGGGAAAAGGAATTGGTATCATTGTCATGAAGTAGAGATGATATCTGAAGCGTGCGCTCCTTTTGCACTGTTTCAAAATCAAAATCGTGTACGTGGTCGCTCGTCGACTCCATAAATGCATCGTACACGAACATCTGTATGGAAGTTAAAATCACATGAATGACACTTCATGAAGAAGACTACGTGAGGAAGTTATACAATAAAAGCAAGGCGATTCAGGCAAGGGTTTACCTGTGGTGAAAGCAAGAGTGAGAGTTGGATTCAAATGACCTCAGTCAGACTCACTCAGAACGTGCCTTCTTTATTAATATCATTTGTTGTCACTGAGTCGAGCATGAATGGCACCGATGTTAAGGCCACGCGGATGACACGTGAGGTCTGTGACACCGCCCACTCCCACGGAGGGGTAATGCGTTTCCACACCTACCACGTGAGCGTGTGATTTGGTCAATTTTGAATGAATCAGTGGGCCACGTTGACGGCTTTACACGATTTCACAGCATTCATTGTGCCCCAAAATGACAATGAGGAAAGGAAATGCCAGTTGTACTGCTACTGGATTGGCTGCGGAGGCAGTCTCATCGCTTTCTGGTTACGATTCATCCTGCATCAACTTACTCCATACTTTGGCGCCTATTTCGATTAGCAAATACTTGTTAGCGTCTCGTAGCACCGGAATGTAGGAGAAGAACTAATGCAAAAGATGTGGCTGCGCTATCCATTGTGTGGATTCAACTCTGCAAATTGTGTGATGGTGCCATTTGCTAGCATATGCGCAGCTGATGGGGTTTGACATTGCATAGCATTTCAAAGGTAACGAAACATCACCCCAGTGAGTACTAAGACCTCACTTTCCATGCACTTCGGATGTACAGACTGACAGAATGGGAACAATTATTGCGAGTCTTAGAGTGCCCTTGAAATCGTCGATGGCCCATTTCGTCAGTAATGTGTGTGGTGAGGTCATTGAATGGAAAACGCAGTGAGATGGACCCAGACTTGTTACCGTCTGCGATTAATTGACGCGTGTTTTCGCATTTTGTGA